CATCATCATCATCATCATCATCATCATCATCATCATCATCATCATCATCATCATCATCATCATCATCATCATCATCATCATCATTATGCTTCCTGTCAATTTTTGTATGAATTGTGCACTTTGGTGGAGAGCTATAGGCTTTCCCGTGGGTAAAAATTTTGGGGGGTTACGTAGGTATATAATACATGTATATCTTTAATGCAGTTCCAAATTATTCTATCATTTTCTTGTTTGTTGGTTGGTTTTTCTTTGTGTGTGTGTGTGTGTGTGTGTGTGTGTGTGTGTGTGTGTGTGTGTGTGTGTGTGTGTGTGTGTATTTCCACAAGTCTAATCTTCATTTTGTTCTCGATTTTTTTCACAGGAAAACTCGCACGCCGACAAAAAAAGATGTGGTTCGCATCCTGAACTTTATCAAAAAATCTCTTGAAGTTGGCAAAAAACAGTTGTGATGTCACAGAAACAGAAAAGTTTTAGGAAACGACGATCTTTCAAAATGGACCTCACATTTTGTACAATCTGTCTTTGCATCCATGTTGGAGGGTGAATGTGGTCTTCTGATGCTTACTTGCCCTTTTACTTTAGCACCCGAAATCTGTATTGACACTGATTTGGATGTATAGTATTTGACAACCATAGAAGGGCATTGTGCTCATGCTCTGTGGTTTAATTTTCTGATCTACAAACTGCAGCAACTCTGATTTCTAGTGGTTGTTGAGAAGGAAAAAAAAAGTGAACAATTTTTTATTCAAACTGAAAAAAACATGCTGAATAAACAGTTTGTTTTTGTTTTTTTAAAGCATGTATTAGATAGTTTGAAAAATGTTCTTCCTCAAGTAATGGGTCAACATATTTCATTCAAGAATCAGCTAAGGGTATTAGCCAGTCCAGATTTATCCTTTAGAATCAGTTGACTTTTAAAAGGAAAATCATACTAGTAACACTAATACTATTAATAATATATACCACATGAAGGGCAGCCAACATTTTGGAACCTAACACTCTGAGAAACCCACATTCCACAACTATTGTTGATGCGTTTAGAACAAGAGGTGCGTGTATTTTACGATGATTGAAAGACCTCTCACACTATGTACATGTACTGTCGAGTTGGTTCTACCAGTTGGTATTGTGTGAGTTCATCTACTTCACTGTGAACCGCATTCAATATACAAATGTAGTGGAGATTTTGATCAGTTGGATCGATTTAATAAATAAATAAATAAATAAATAAATAAATAAATAAATAAATAAATAAATAAATAAATAAATAAATAAATAAATAAATAAATAAATAAATAAACAAATAAACAAATAAACAAATAAACAAATAAATGAATGAATGAATGAATGAATGAATGAATGAATGAATGAATGAATGAATGAATGAATGAATGAATGAATGAATGAACGAATGAATAAATGAATGAATAAATTAATCAATGAATAAATTAATCAATTAATTAATTAATCATACACAAATAAATACATAAATACATAAATACCTTAAATTTTATTCTTCACCGTGGGGAAATTTGGTTTACAAAGTAAAACATTCATACACAAATACTAATTCATACATGAATGCGTACATTCATAACCACATGCATAAATACACAATATTACACCAATACACAGATCAATTTCACAAACGTTCCAGTGCTGGTCGCTACTGTGTAGTGCCCTGTATTTTTTAAGCGTGGGTTGTCGTGTCTTGCACAAGGACACATCCCAGTGACCACCCACCTAAACCCCGTGTCACAGACACTTGCTTGAAAGCTTGACTGCTTGACATTACTTTAGAGTCTGTACTCACTAATCACTTACCCAATGGAGCCCCCAATCTAGCAATCAAACCTTGACACACAAACACTTTTAGCTGATTCCTAGGGGGTACATGATTTTTTCTTTCTCCTTTTTTTAAATAGTGGAGTGGAGGGCAGGTTTAAACTTTGTAATAGAAATTAAGCAAATATCCCCTCGTGTTTTAGTACATTCCACAATAATTTTCCTGCATTGTCTTTCTTACCGTAGCTGAGCCTAGCCCTGAGGCGGTTCAAAGGTTCTAAGCCTACTTTCCATAACTGACGCGATATAAGTCTCATCATCAACATCAATTTTGTAGTTCATTCTTTGAAAAATAAGACAGGATCAATAATGTTAGAGCATTGCGAGGGATCATGTTTTAAGATTTGAAGTCTAGAATGTTCTATTTGTTATCCGTGCAATTGCTTTCGCTTGAAGGACATCAAAATGTATTCTGCATAGACTTTGTAATTTGTGCAACTTTACTCACTTTTCTGTTAATGACTGATCTTAACATATGAATGTCAAGTTTTTTAGTGTTTTTTTTTTTTTTTTTTTTTGTTTAAAAAAAATT